TCGGGACAATTTTTTTTTTTTAATTTATAGTACGTAAGTTTTAATTTAACATATGTTTAAAGGACTCAGTATTTCGGGAACATTTTCAAAAGTTAAGCTGAAGAAGTTGACTTTTGTGAAAAATTTGCTATTTTGAATCCTCTCCTGTGGGTAGGTAACGGGTAAGAATTTCAAAAAATAATATCAAATGAAAGTAAAACACCTAAGATCTCTATTTAAAAAAATATATTTTGGTATGTTTATTTTTCAAAAAGTCATGGCAATTTTAAGAGAAAAAACGGCAAAATTTACTGATTTTGAAAATTGTAATTGTTTTGGAGATTTTTTCTATTTACAAAGAATGATGAAAATTTTTTTAATTTTTAAGGGCAATGTCTTCAATGCATACGACTTGTGATAATTTAACGTATGAATGAAAGAACAATGGTTCGATGAGATCTGAGAAAAAGTGGCAACAGACATAAAAACCCAGCACAGGGGGATCGCGGCACAGTGGTGACGTAGCATAGTTGGATCAAGTATTATGATATCTGACAGTGATTAAAATCACTATAAAAAAAAACGCTTCGATGCAAATCTTTAGATAGTGTATAATTTTAAAAAATTGGTGGATTATACCAAAAGCAACATGATCTGCTAGTTCTTTATTAATAACTTGATTAAGATAAAGTATGTCGAATGAAAGAGGGATTATTAAAAAATATTATTTCTCATAAAAAATTGTGTTGATCCATACACTTTTCAATAAGTTATAGCATTATAAAGTTAAAAATGTAAAAAATAAAATCGAGAATTTTCACACAAAAATAACATTCGGTAGCTATTTTCACCGTGAAGATAAAATAAAGTCCGAAATTTTTTTTTTCATGATAAAGTATATTACATTAGCTTTAATTTAAGATATATATAAAAGTGTCAGACCTTCCGAAACATTTTCAAAAGTTAAGTTGAAAAAGTTAATTTTTTGTGAAAAAGTTGTCATTTTAAATCCCCCCTTGTGGGCAGGTTAAGGGTTAAATTTATGAAAAAAATATACCAAATGAAAGGTAATGATATTATGCATCTATATAAAAAAGAATTATATTGATATGTTTATTTTTGAAAAAGTTATGGCACTTTTAAGTAAAAAAAATTGAAAAAATTTCGAAAATTAGCGATTTTTAAATTTGTAATTTTTTTGGAGGTTTCCCCCATTTACGGGGAACGAGGGAATTTTTTTCAATTTTTGAGGGTAATGTCTTCGACTGGATACGATTTGTGGTCTTTTGACGTATCATTGAAAGAAATCGGTTCGGTGAGAGCTGAGAAAAATGATAACAGACACAAAAAAAAAAAACACATCTTAGTAAAACCAATACCTTCTCAGCTTCGCATCGAAGCTAAAAAAAACTCATCATTGTCATATTAATACCTTCTCAGCTTTGTATCAAAGATAAAATTTATTATAAATTAATAATCGTTTTTATTAAACTATTTTTAAAAATTCTTGAAGTTTTTAGTATAAAGTTGCAATAAATAAATTAAATACATATTGTACTAATAATCATTAGACATTATATATGATGCATTGTTAAACATTATAATTGTTTAATTATTATTTTAATTAAATATAATTATTTTAAGAAAATTATTTTTTAGTTTCATATATTTTGAATTTAATAGTATTAATTATTTTTTTAAATTTATTCCTTATACTTTATAAGGGTGTTAAAATAAAAAAATGACTGCGTGATTACAACTTTTATAACAGTACATCAAATGTTACTAACATTTTAATACCTAGAGATACGACTGAGAAATATCTAATGATACATATTTTCATACTCATTCCTTACCTGTTAATTAAATATGTTTTTATTACATAAGATAATAAAATATGTGTTGCTACTAAAAATAAAAAAATGAACACCCTTATAATGTATACGTTAGGGTGGTACGAAATATTTAAAATGTTGATAATGAAATTCTAATAGAAAAAAAAGTTGCTGTTTAATCTCCTGATTACGGGGGAAAAAAAGAAATTTTTTTTAATATCTTCAAATGTTACAAGAGGGTTGAAAATTTGATTATGAGGGTAATTTTTTGTTTTTTGTCACATATCTATTAATCTATACTATTTACAGAAAAAATTATAGAACCAAATTTTATTAGAAAAAACCCGTATCTATAATACTTATTCATTAAAATTTAAAAATATATTTTTATCTTTACCGCTGAAATCGTATTCATTAGTTTATTTAAATATTGCAGACGAAATATTCAACATACAATAAAAATGTTTGTATAAAAATTGATTAGAATTTAATTGTTTATTATTTTTGTTGTGTGTATCATATCTTTTACCAAACGCAGTTGTTATATCAAATATTAGTTTGTAAAAAAAGTCCAATCCAACTTAGTATAAAAATGTTAATATCTTTTAAAATATTGATTTAAATTTTTTTATCGAAAGCAAATTTTTTTATTTAGATCACCCTTAATAAATATATAGATTTTCAAGAATATTAATAGTAGAGTAGAACGAAAAATAATTTTATTTTGCAAATTCTAATATTACTAGAAAATTGTGGTCCATAATCAAATATGTGTATAAAAAATTACAATCTCAAAATTATTACGAAATTTACAGAACACATTACATAAAAATTGTAAATATATTATTCGTTTATTGTAATGTATTAAATTTGTATATAAGTAAAAACATTAACTTAATTAAATTGAAATATTTTATTTTTAAATGAGGTATAATCCTACTTATAACACTATCCCTTCCAGCTTGTACACATACAGCTGTAGATGCTTCTTTTACTAATTTTACAATTCTTTCAACAGCTTAAGTATGACAAATTAAATAAAATATGTCTAAGGTTTTCTTCTTATGACTTAATACAATCTAAACTACAATTGAATTTTAAGTTATTATAAAGTTGTCATGGTACGTTTTAATTAATTGTAATACTCGCGTGTGTGATATACTATTGAAATTGATGCTTTGTGCCATATATTTTCTATGTTAGATGTTACAATTTTAGCTATAGAGCTTACACTTAGCTCTTTTGGAGTAATATCGGGTTTAAGTTGATGTTTTACATACAAATAATATTGCATAACGTCTTCATAAGTTGGTAATATATTATTAATAAGCTCTTTAGCATCTTGAAAAATTAAAAATTTTGATTTATTTCTCGTCAAAACAACAGCCATTTTTAACAAATATTTAACACTCGTTGCGCATAAAATTAACTAAACACAACTCCATACGGATACACAGCGATATTAAATGCAAAAGCAAGTTCATTTATTGAAGTAATAATGAAATATTATCTATCATACATTTTTTAAGATAAGATAGGGCTTAAATAGAATAACCCAGTAATCATACGAAAACAATATTACTATATTTCAAATGTTTAAAAAAAAAATAAATTAGAATGGATTACTGATGTTTTTTTTTAAATTTTAAAGTACTTACCTATAAATTTCGTTAAGTTGAATTATTTCCCCGAGACAAATACTATAAGGAAATAAAATGTACTTGAAATCTTGACAAATTTTGTTTACATTTTAAAAAATGATCATTATTGTAATTTAGTAGTTTTGGGCTATTTTCTAAAATTTTTACTTCATTAGGATAACTATGAAAATATAACCGTTAAGGTTAATTAAATCTCAATATGTGAAATTGCCATCAATAACAATAACAAGCTCTAATTGGAAATTTCGTACGATATAAAAATTAAGAGCTCGTCTATCAGCCCTTAGTATTACGATTTTGTGTCTTGCGACAAAGATTACAAGTTTAACGTTTAATTGGAACTAAAAATAACACAACAAAATGTTTTCAAAAGTATTAATGGTAAGTAATTTTTATTATTTTAATAATAATTTTAAATATTGATTATATTTGTTATTTTTATTTCAACATTAAAAATACACAATTATTTTTCGAAATTAAATCCTTTTATCAATATTTTAAAGACATATCTTTATGTAAAATCAAAAGCTATAGGCTTTAAGCTATAGACATTTAATGGCATGGTTTTAAAATAAAATATCTTTTTAAAGTTTGTACAATCAATATTTGTTATTTTATCATTAAGTGTACTTAAATGGATTTCGATATTCAGTGCTAGGAATTAATTATAAATATTATTATACTAGTATTATTAATATTTAATCATAATTAGTTTGATAATGATGACTTTATGTAATAGTTTTTTTGCATAAATTCTTTAATATTTAATTTAAAGTAATTTTCATCATTTGCTCATAATCACAACTGCGACAACATTTTTTCATCCACAAAAGTACAACATTTCGTGAAATTTATTTCAATATACACTTTTAAACCTCAAAAAAAAAAAAATTATTTCTTTCAGATGGTATGTGTAGCCATGCTTGCTATTTCTGGCTTTACTCGTGCAGACAAAGTCGATACAAAAGAAAACATGAAAACTGCTGAAGCAGTTTATTCGGTACCTTATTCATCAGCTTATATGCTAAATCCAGCAGCCAGAGTTGTTAGTTACAGAACTGGTATATATTTTTTATTTTGTGATTCAACATTAGTTAAATGCTTTTAGATTTAAGTAGTTTATCTGTATATGATTTTTCAATATTTATTTCTTTAAAAAGTTGTAAAGTTCAAGTTTTTTTAATTAATATTTGAAAATTATCATGTACTATTTAGCCTACTTAAAATTTTTGTAAAGATTTGCTATATTAAATATTCTATTCATTTCAAAATTATATGAATGTAAACCTCTTTAAAAGCTAATGGTAGTGGATTATTCTAATTATTCCTTCATTTAATCAAATTATATTTTTTCAGGTATACCATCTAGAACCATCCAAGATGTCAATGGATTCTCTAGTTGGGTGTCACATTGGGTCTAGTGTGGAGTACACAGATTATATAATTGTTCCCGTATGGCTGAATACAATTTTTTTGAAATGGATTTTAAAAATTTATACTTACAAAATAAAAGTGATTAAATAATTAAAAAATTTGAGTAACAATTTATTGGTACCGTAACTATATTATAAAAAAAAATTTAACAGGTTTAACAATGGAATTATTTTTACGTTTAAATTTTTAAATAATAACTATTCCTGTTTATTTCCTCTTTCATGTTCACCCTGACCTAAAAAAATATATATCAATAATAAAGTAATTAAAAAGAATAAATAAAATTGTTTACTTTTCAGAGTAACTAGCGTTTCACTTGTTGTTAAGTGTACTATTGGTAATGATGTCGGGTTTTCTTCAAAATTTACTGACCTAAACAAATGTATGTTACTTTTAGATCTAAAATTTTTAAGGCAAAAATTATACTAACATTCGTCGACCGTTTTGGCTGAATTTTGGAAATAAATTTAAATGTAACAGTAAATTTTCTGCGCTATTTTGTTTAATATGTTTAAATGCATTATGTACAGAATCTGCTTCAGTAATTTGCTCCTTTTCTTCTTCTATTTCTTCTTCTGCTTCATCCTGTTCGAGGTCTATACAAAGAAAATAACGAGTTAAGTTGAACCATCGAATTTAGTACTATTTAATTTAAAATACGCTCTTTTTCTATATCAATGTAATAATTTATTTTAAAGAAAAGTAACATAAAGTTTTCCTACAGTTAATAGATATTCATTTACACAAATTAAATATACTAAAGACAATAGCGAAACAAAAAGCTATGTAAGCTATTATTCTCAAAGTAAGTTTCAAAAATAATTGTCATACTTATAACTCTACTAAACTATTATTTACTATTAACTAGGTGGTTATTGTTAATTTCTTATTATAAATATAAATTTTATTTATATTTATAATAAAATATAAATAAAAGCATTGGTGCCACAATGTTTTTTGAAATACTTCAATAATCGTACTTTTACTGAACTTAGTTCAAGATTAAATTAGTAAATGAAATAAAAAAAATTATAAGCTTTAAATAGAAAGGACTTTTTATAAGTGTACAAGAATTTTAGACATTTTAGTTAATGATAAATGCTAAAATTTACGATTAAACGCAAATTAATATTAAAAATTTATTACTAAGGCCTATTTAAAAAGATAAAGAAAATTAGTTTGCGTATAGTAAAACTATTTATTTTAAAGTTATGGGGATAATTTGACTGTTACAAGTCTACTGACCTTGCTGCTGATGGTTTTCATTTTCAGTAATCGGATAAATGTCTAACATCATTCTAATTGGTTTCTTATTTTTTGGTTTTGCCTTCTTAAGCTTCTTTACTTGATTTGGCTTGACTACTACGGGTGATCTAGGGGTATGAAATACAACGTCTGTATGTGTTGGTATATTGTATGATTCTTCATGAACAGTTAGGTCCACAGGTAAATCGACATTTTCAAAGTTCATTGCATATCCAGCGTTTGGATCTGGTGGTTTCATAAAATCGTCGGGTAATGAGTCAATGGTTTTCGGAGGATTCAGATATACCGGTGGGCCGTATCTATTACGAAACCTTCTTGACCCTATTTTTGGTGGCTGTAGTACTTCTGGTAAGTGATTATTAACATCGCCGGCGGCTTGTATAGGAAAATAACGATTACCCGACTCTTGGGCGACCATAAAATCGGGCGGAGGACGACGCGGTGGTCCCGTAACGTATTTCATAACGTTAATGACACTCTTTGGAGGAAATGGAGCTCTGTAGGCTGCCAGTTGTGGAAAATCCGATTTACGGCTAAACCCATACATGCCGTCAGGATATTTCCCATTTTTCAACACATTCAACTTCCAGTATCCTGGACCATATGATAAATAGGAAGGTCTTTGCACTGTAGTTGGCGAGTACATACGCATCTGTCTGGCAGCACTTAACTCAGCTTCATCTACCTTTTCCACAACATGCGTATTATTGACTATTGTAAAGTTTTCACTGTTCTTGAGTCCTAGTAAAGCAGTTAGAAGTCCATTTTCCGGCGTATTCGCTTTGGTTTGTTTTTCCTTTACAAACTTTGCATAATTCATTACTTGTCCGTCGCCGGTAACTGGGTTTTGCGTTGTTGTTGGCTTTGCAAAATCAAAAAACGTAAAATATACCTTGTAAAAAACAGAAAATAAATTAAATGTTTAAAGTACTTTATTAGTACAAAAATTACTATATACATAAATAGTTATAATAATTTGAAAATAATCCTATAAATTTAAATAATGTATTTTTAAAAATTGATTTCATATTACTAAAATGAAAAAAAACGTTTAATTATTATTATTATTATATTTCCTCAGCCATAATTAAATTTCGCCAAGTCGTTGGCCGGTGTCAAATCCTTTAAAATCAATAAGGTAGATCCAACCCCAAATACCCGGGAAGAGTTAAAGAAAATTATGATTCAATTATTATTATAAAATATTAACCAGGTAAAACAGTTTTAAAAATTTTATAAAAACCAATAAAAAAGTATTATTTCTTAATAATATAATACATAAATTGTAATTAATATATCTATCTGTATTCCTTTGCGACATCGAGACAAAAATAATCAACCAATTAGAAAAAGCTAAAAAATAAAAGAAAACGATATAGCAACAGTTTGAGTACTCGGTCATATCAGGATAAGAGGCAACGAAATAACTGATGAATTTATAAAAAAAGTTATAGAAAACACAGAAGCAAACAAAATAGACGCCATGACGTATAATGACATAAAAAAAAGAGATCATACAATATCATACAAAACCTGCAAAAAATTGGAAAAATTTAAATAACAAACTCAATGAAATAAAGAGTACTACAATTAGATGGCCCACAATCTCTTATACTAGTGTTAGTAAAGAAAGAAAAATTAATAGAATCTGCATAGGACATACGCGGCTAACTTATGGTTATCTAATGGGGAGAAAGGAACCTCCAATATGTTCAGTGTATGGTAATCTTTTATCGATCAAACATATTTTTAAAAATTGCAGAAAATACGAAAACTGTTCAAAATAAGTTACCATACCCAGAAAAACTTATTAAATTTTTAAAATATACAGAATTGTAAAAACAATTGTAAATATATTTTTAATTATACAATAATAAATTATCAATTTTCATATAGATCCATATATTTGTGTAACACTTCTGTAAAAAAAAAAATCGCTAATGGACATTCATATCAAAGCATGAATAATAAAAAAAATATATTAATTTTAAAAAGCATTTTGTTTTTTTTCTCTTTTATTCTATCATATTTTATCTTACATAAAAATCAGCGATCGTTTTAACATTATAATTATAACGTTATATATAATATTTTCCTGCCCTAATAAAAAAATAATAAAAATAAAAATGATTTCCGACAAATATTATTATGTAGTTTATTCGCTTCTTTTTTTTTAAATAAATTGTTTACACATAAATATTTGTTGATATATATATATATATATATATATAGAAAAAAATTATTTTGTATTAGAAAATCAATGAATAAAATAAAAAATGTAATATATTTTATTTGACTTCAATCTTGAAAAATTCTTTATAGAATCATTGTCATTTCATTATGTCTTGTACTATTATATTAAATGTTTAATTTATTTTGAGGTATTTAGTATTTAACATTATTACTATTATTATTTATTTAAGTTTAATTATACATAAAATATAGTTTCTACGATATTTAATAAAATTACTAAATATTAACCATATGACAAACTGCTCTAAGAAATCAACATTCAAATTAATGGAAAGCCTTTATTTAAACCTAAAAATTCAGCTATGTTTCAATTTTTAAATACATCAAACTAATGTAAACAAATTTTGTAGAAGTCATTGATAAAATAACTTATGGATATAAATTATAATCGAAGAGCGTTTTATGGTACTTATATTATATTTTTCCGTAATACTGAAATACTAAAAAATAATGATTGAATGACTATTTTCAGCATTATATTTTTAATGTAACAAATATTTAAGAACAAAAATTATTTTTTAAAGTAAGCTAGCTGTATTATTTATACAATTTATATTTTGTTAAAATAATAGTATATTAGTATATTACTCAAAAATTATACTTTAAAACTTTACATTAAATAAAAAAATTCGCATCAAACTCAATGATTAATACTGATGCTATTGATCAATTTCAACTATATTATTGCTGTTTTCGGTTGGAAATATGCGCTCCATTGAAGTATTAGATAAAATTAGATCGATTAATAACGTTCGAAAAATATTTGAAACTCCATCAACCTTCTAAAAACTAAATATAGCTTTGTTATATAAAAGACCAAAATAGATTATAATATGCACAATTAAATTTTTTTTATAATATTTTTATTTCTAATTCGTCAGATTGGAACTTTTATTTAATAAAAGGTAGTCACTACAATACACATCATTGCGTTTAAAACAACTAAAATAATTTTGAATTAGTTTTTATTTATGAAGATTATCATCTCAATATTTTGCGCTAGTTAATACTATTTTGGATATTTTTGTACATATACTGTGTATTACTTTATCGTAGAGTTTAAGATGAATCTCTTGAATAGCGAGAGTATTTTTTTATCATACTTTAATCGACGCAGCACTTCCTAAAACAATTAGGAAATTGTTACATTGATGTGGTGACGAGCGGGGATAATAACTTTCCTTTTCGAGCATTATAGTTGTGATATAATGATTACTGGTTAGAAATGTTTTAAACACATTGAATTTAGACTGAATAATTCATTGCCATACTTATAAAGCGTAAAGTTAGTTTAAAGTAAATAAGATAAATAGTAGTAATTACGATTCTCCTTTTATTTTCGGATTTCGGTTTTCTCGAATTATTAAGACCCGACGCTTTCACTATGAAAAAAAGTGCATATCCAATAGTAATATTACAGAAAATCTATCAACAGCTTTTAATATTATCCCTGTTTGTAATTAACAATTTTGTGCATGTTATCACAATCTTCGAACGCTTGTCGTCTTTGTGATGCTAATAATGTTTACTAATCTTTTTAAAACACGAATATATTGTAGTCACACACAAAAAACCATTCAAAATTCATTTAAGCTCAGTAATTCATTTTTTAAACACAATTCAATACAAACTCATATGTGTTGGATTAAAAATCATTTAGCACAAAACTTAGATAATATAACTTTATTAGTAAAAATAACTAAAACAGGACTCTAATTATATATTGTTATTGCCTATTAAAAGTTCATTAAAACCAGATATTTTAAGAGAAAATTTCATTTTCAATATCTTTGAAATTAGCTTAATATACAAGAGTATCACAATAAATGTGGAAAATGTGCATAAGATATACTAGAAAATATTTCATCATTCAATTGAATAAATTTTTTCACTCCTTTCCCATAAGTTTTTTTATGTTTAGTATAAATGTTTATTTTTCAAAAATTAAAAGATAAATTTAACAAACAATGTTATTTTTTCGCTCTGCTTTATTATTTTTTATATTTATGTAAATGTGATAATTGTTTACTAAAGGAGTGAAATAAAAAAATCAAGCTTGAATTAAATTTTTTTCTAAATAATATAACATGATCACCTATATTTTCTTTGAAAAATACGCGTTCGATATTTTTTACTTAAATACATTTGAGATTTATTTTTATTTAATATCATCAAATTGATGATATTTTAAATATATGGTAAAATGAATTGATAAACTATTTTACTACAATGCTATAGAAAATTTAAGTTTCAATAGTTTGAAATATAACTTTAAGCTGTTTAATAAGTGTAACTGTTCACCATATATTTCTTCTATTTAAATTTTTTTTTTTAATGAAATACCTTTGGAACACATTTATTTATATTCCGTAAATAGATACAAGCTCTTGAAGCCTAATTATATTTATATCTAATAAATTTATAAACTTACTATTACTGTTAGAGTCGCAATAAGTGATAGAACAACTAAGAAGCTGCTAGCTCTATCTATTCTTCGGTGTTTACCGATAAATTCTTCCTTAAAAATGCCAAATTCTGATGCCTCAATAGTTGATTTTCTATCTGGTGGCCATTTGGCCTCCAGTTTCACAGTATCCATAACACTCACGTGTGTCTAAGAACGTGTATCTAGACACATTAGCACTAGATGAGATGGTAACAAAAGAGTTTTAGCAAAATCTTTATTTTTCTTGCTCTGTTAATTTTTTATTTTCGTTATTATTAACTTTATCACACTTGCCTAACCTACCGTCACCGCCTACCACTAGTTTCAGCGGCTAGTTCACTCCTGACAAATTATAATATATTTTAATTGGATGTAGAAACGTTTTCTTGCTACTTTTATTTTAAGTTTCATTGGGTTAATAATTTAATACTTTAATTTAATAATTCTATATAACACTATTATATAAGTATTGAAATTTATGGATCATAAATATTTTTACTAAATGATGCATTTTATATGATATTTATATGATATTCAGCAAGTAGTAAAAGGTATATGTTTAACAATAGTTCAAATTATTTAAGCGATTTTGAGTTAAATAAGTTCACATAGACACAAATTTATGTCAATTTTTGTTTATAAAATTGAAATATATTTCATGTGTTTTAAATTTATATTTATTTATGCCTTAACAATTTAATAATTCAAAACAAAATACATGATATGCATTTTTATGGTTTCTTAATGTTTTGCGTTAAATTTAAAACTTAAAAATAAAATAAAACAACTTTTGTAATTATTTAATATTCATTTTAACTCATTTGATTAATACTATAAATATTTAGTATCTACATCTACCTAAAATAATAATACTATAAGCATTATAAAATACGATTACATATGCTTACTTAAATTTTAATAATTTACTTGAAAAGAGTTACATACCTACTATCCCAATAATCTTATGAAAAATATATTGAAAAATTAGTCAATCAGTAATTTTTGAAACTTTTAAACTTTTATCTTTTAAAACTGTCATAACTTCTTTAAAAATTGATTAATCAAAAATTTCTTTTTTTATAAACACCTTGGATATCTTTCTTTTATTAAGCATATATATTTGGAAAAACTAACTCTTCACTTGCTCACAGGATTAAAAATAGAAACTTTTACTTTCTTCTATATTCGTTTGG